AAATCGTGAAGCTGTAATAGATGCATTTTGTACAGTGCGTTGTGAAGTTATGGACAGATGTCTGTTTTCGAAGGTTTGATAGAGATGAAGGTATTTGGATGTGGTTTGTTGTGCTTCGTTTTGTAAACGCAGCGAGTACAGATTTGGAATGCAGGTATTTTGAGTACAGCAATTATTGTGAAGTCCTTTTAAGGTTTGGGGCGATGCTGCTACACAAGTATTTTTCTCTCTCTGCTGTTGTTGGGGTGTTCTTCTGACTTTATCCAGTTACAACAAGTTTCATAATGACTGCCTCAAGTAAGTTCACCGTATGCGTGTCGTGTGTTATGCATGTCATGCATCGATGGCGTGCTGTGGCGATTTTACAACCTGTTGCTCTCGTTGCTCTTGTTACTCAAAGCATGCATTCACTATGTAACGATCGCATTTGCATATTGTTCCCCTTTGTATTAGCCGTTTACTTTCACATCTGGATTCGTAGGTTAAACTTTTTTAGATTCGACTGTCTTCCATAGGCAGAGTAGAAAGTCAGTTACATAAAATAACTGGAGTCAGTAGTGGTCTGGATAGTGAAACATCAATAAATAGTTGTTGCAGCATTGTATAGCAAGTTTATATGTCTTGAACGCGTATTTATTTTTTATTAATGCACCACTTCGAAGAGTTTATTCAGCATATGAATATTATTAAACAAAATCTCGATGTTTGGGATCGACCTTTATTCAGCTGTTAATAAAGTACTCAACAAAAGTACACATTGCACTTATTGGACAACATGAATTAATTTATTACGATAGACCTGCTGCAGCTCCCTTCTCCTCTGCTCGTGTTATTGTAGTTTTCTCAGTTACTGCAAAGTATACATCAAGTAATCATTTTGATATTCCTGATGCCAATATTTCAGCTTATAGCGAATGGACATGCATAAATTCCAAAATGTTGTGCAACATGTAATACCTTTGCACAACATTTAACTATTTTGGAGAAAACGTATGGCAGAAGTCTCGATAATTAAACTCGAAGGTTGGCTCCCGGATTGAGTCCTTGTTGTTTTAGAATCCTACAGGGTAGCAATATTTTTGCTTTGACGTTTCGACATTGTTATCTGTACGGTAACAGATTTATCACTTTGGACGTGTTTTAGTTGGAGTGTCAAGTTGGACGAATTGCTTTTATTTCACGTCGTATAATGGAATATGCCTTCTCATCCCAATACACATACCCTCGTACGATTCGTATACGTAACATAAGCACGTTGGATGGTGTGGATTTTGCAGATAAATATTTCTAACGTCCTTTTCTAACGAATGCTGCATATTTTTCGTTTCGAATTCTAGTGCTGCTCACAGTTATGGCATGCGTTTCGGTGCAATGCAAACTTTACGTTATGTTTCGTTTTTCAAACGAGTATTTGATGCGACTCTGCACTTTAGGGACGCCATTAACATCTGCATATTCAACATCATATGCTCAGTATTCTTCTGTGTTGTTACCTTTGCCGTCCTCGGCTTCCTGGCTAACGAAATGGGCGAAGACATGGCCAAACTAGTTTCTTCAGGTGAAAACTGTGTAGTTTGATTTTTTTTCAAGTATTTTTAATCATTTAGGACCGTCTTTGGTATTTGTTACGTTCGCTGAGGCCATCGCTAGACTTCCGCTTGCTCCAGTGTGGTCTGTATTGTTCTTTTTAGCCATCATCATGTTTGGTCTCAGTACTGAGGTACGTCACTACGCTGTCCTATGCTTTGAAAGTGTTCGAAATCTTGCCAAATACCTGACCTCATCGTTTCCATTTTGGAGGGGATGTAGTAAGGAGCGTTGTTCATGGTTAAACTCGAAGGATACCGCCATTAGTGATCTCCGTTAACTACTGAATTTGTTACGAGGACCGTAGTTGCTGTAAGACGATGTTATTCTGTGTTTTCTCCTTACACGGCTGTGAATTCGAACTTGTAACACTTTGTTTTGCGCAATGGAAAACTCACTGCTATTACAGTTCTTCATCCTTACATTCGTCAAAATATCGATTCGCACACTGCGGTATGTTAATTGGCACTTACCTCGTCCAAAGCCAGATTTCAGTTTGCCTAGAGAGTCATTTTGGCAGTCCGCGACTTGGTATATGAGAATCTGTAGCGCTAGTGCATTTCACATAATTTTCTTCGCTGGATGAATCTCATTCTCATCCATGAACTAGGAACAACGGACTGTCTAGTGAGTGCGTTTTAAAATCTGATGTTGGAAAGAGTACCAGTTAGCGTACCCAAGCATGTGAGCAGACTATTTATATTTCCTTGCGAGCAGGGGATTGCTCTGTTGAATCGAAGATCAGATATGCATGTATCACTGCATCCATGCGCTCAAATGCCACAGAGCCGCATCTTGCTTAATTGGCCCATTCGGTAACAAGGAGCAAGAGAGAGTATATTGCGCCCTTAAATCCGGTCTTCGAGTAGTTGTGCACGGCTAGCAGTTATGCGATCTTCGTTACAGCGGTCCTGCACGGTTTATGTTTTAGGTTTAAAGGATAATTAATAAAATAAATTTGCTCGAGCTGACAGACTGGTGAAGGAAAACCTGAATCTGGCGCAGAGTCTGCCCTGACTCTCGCTCCAGGTCATTTTTGGCAGTCCTATCGGTTGAGCAAATTAGCTGATGTTTTCCCTTCCTTCCTGAAAGCATCCGCAAGACGTTCGCTATTTTGGGATTCTACCTACATTATGCGACTATCGAGAATAACTTCACTGCACTGTAACACGTGCGATTTCATGTATTGGCTGGGTTCTATTCTCGTCTCTATGAAAAAGGCAAGGATGCTAACTTTGAAACTGTTGGAATCTCGGCTTTCCTTATACTTTCATGATGCAGCCGTTTCTGGCGCCCTGCTTTTCATGAAATTAA